CTGTGAGGCATCTACATTTGTCTGAAAGACAGTAATCAGTCTTGATTTGAACACTGAGATAAATTATACTCAAATATGCACTGCTTCTACTGCAACAGCAACAAGTGGTCAAGCAGCTATCCAGCCTTTTCCCTTGGTTAAATATTCAATATTTATAGCGGGCTTAGTCCATCAGGTTCATTTGTAATCTTCAAGCTATCCTCTCTTACTTTTCTATGATCCTATTAAAAATACAATTTATAAGGCAAACAGTAAAAACTTTGCTTCTCTCTCCGTTTGTTATTCACCCTTACCCAGTGTAGTCCTGAAGGAGTATCTTTAGCAAGTGTGGTGCGAGATGGGCGTTGTACCGGGGAGCCGAGGGAAGTGAGCAGTTCTCATTCACAGATAGTACAATGGCAGTGCTTTTTGTGGCCTGTAACTACATCTGCACTGCTCACTGAACCATCCACATTTACACTCAGCTAAAGAAAAGCCCATTTGGCCAAAAATCAGATACATTTTTAATAGGTGTCTTCATGTGCATATTTAAACACTAATCCCTGGTAGAAATGTTTGTCTGAAGCAGTACTGTGAGCTCTGTTACAAGACTTGGAAGCCTTATATGATTTTAATCTACATTTTGGTGTGGTTTTTCACACATAATGTCTCAAATCAGAAGCCTCAGCTTCAGAGAGATGTATATGATGTTATAATGCTAGTTGGAAGCATCTGAGTGCCTGTGGTGACTGAGTGATCCCTAATTGCCCAACAACTCTACTCTTGTCAGGTTCAGCTACAAATACTAAGGAAGCTAAAAGGAATACTCAGTGTTTTGATGAATTTTACAAACTTATCATATATATCCAGAGGTGCTGTAGAGATGTAGGGGGGGAAAAAATCACAACAAAACACCAGTCCATCAAAACAAAGGGCTGATAAAGAGATGAGAGACAGGTGTTGATGGCTAATAGCACAAAACAGCTTTTTACTGGCTTTATCCATTACCAAGATGGTGTGACCAGACAGGTGGATCAAGAAGCAAAGTAGAAAGAAGCCTCATGCTCTTACCACACCTGACCATACCACACCAATCTCTGCCCACTGATCTTAGACTACAGCAACAATTTTGGAAGATGATTCATTCCAAATACAGTCTATTACTCACATTAGCATCATAGGCCAGAGGCAACTTTTGTTATGAGAAAGTCCAAGACTGGGTTAAAATGGGGTTTTGGCCCCAAGACCTAACTGCTTAGATCTTAATTCCCCTTGGGCCAAGTAACTAAGTCCCTGGCAAGAAAATGATACTTGTGCAGAGCATGACCTTATTTAGCTGGGGTAGCATTTGGGGTTTTTTCTCAGCCTTCATTACTGTAATATTGTACATAGGGTTTTTCATTTGTTTGCCATGCAACTTATTCCCCTAAGATTAGTCTTTTTCTAGTCAAGCAGTTTAAAGCTAATCGCAGTTGTTATTTTAATCTGTGCTCACCATTAAGAATTCTTGCAGAGCTATTCTGCTTGTTAGCAATTATGGTCTCCCAGTGGAAGTTCATGATTACAGCAAGAGCAACCTGTTTAGTACTTGGCACCTCTTTAGTACACAGGCATTAAAAACAGGAGCACAGAAGCATGCTAATACTGCTGATGAAAGCAGAGCAAATGACAAACTCTTTTGAAAATACAGCACTGGAGAAATGCCATGCAGTCCTCATGAACATTTCTGGTTCCTCCCCTCTGTGTTTTACATTACTGTAATAAGGTAAGAAAGGGCTATTGAGCCTTCATTCATTTATTATATAATGGTCATGTCTGAAACGTAGCATATTCTCATTCTTTCACCAAGGAAGACTAAAGGGTTGGTCCTGGTTCCAGTAACACTACTAATAAAATTCCCTGACAAGGTCTTAAGACCAGGATCTGAGCCTTGCATATTCAGGCAAGCATCCTATGCTGAAATATGACTTCTTTCTTCTGTCAAGAGGCTTAGTAATTGCTGTCACTGATCTATGCATCAAGACTTTAAAATTATTATCTACTGTCAAGGTCAATTAGCAAAGATCACAAGACCAAATTTTTGCTTTTCATGCTGATTGTCCATGTGATTCTGCCATAAAAATTATACATATTAATACCCATTAGCTGAGCTAAAGCATGAAATGGGCGTGTAAGGAACAACACTGCAAGGGGATCCCCCACCCCTGACCCAGTTCTGTCCTGTTTAAAATTATTTCCAGGTGGGATAGGGCAGAGAAATCTAAAATAACCTTTTGGGTTTTTTTCAAACTGTTACATGGGGATACACAACCACTATTGTGCATCACATCCAGTGATAAATGTTGGGGATTTACACCGACAGGTCAAATTTGTCTAATGTTGGATAAATGTATTTTGTTTAAACGTGAGAAAGGAGGAACTACTGACGAGTCAAATATGCCTTCATTTTCATCATTCTTCATGTGAAAATAACTACTGTGAAATGTTCAGTATAAGAAAAGCTATGTTAATGAAGTCTGCATCTTCGCAAACTAGTGAGGCACCTTCGCTCGTTGTCAAGGTTTTAAGGACAAAACATCTGAAGCTGGGCTAGAGGTCTGCTTTAGTAGAAAGCTGTAAAACGTGACCTAACCATGGTCAGTTCTCCTGGGACAGCAATTATAGCAATAAATGTTCCACAGCAGATGCTAATGCCGTGTATAAACAGTCATCCCCTAAAATGAAAAGAAATTTTGGCCCCCACATGTCTTCTTGGGTCCCATTGTACGTGTGGAAACGTAAAGGAAATGTAAAATTGATATGCACACCATGACATCGGCTTTAGTCTCCTCTGTCTTAGCCTGGCCCCTATAAATCTGTCCCGGCTGTAAGTAATGCTGAAGGAGCTAAATGGTCACAATTTGTGTCTGTCGTTTTTATGAGCTCGCCTGGAGTAAAGTGGGGGTTATTGGTCAATGTCAGGTTCAGCGCCCAGTGACCCACTGGGTTAAAATCATGGTAGTCACAAATCAAGAGCATAATGAAGTCTGAGAAGAGGGCTATGCTGATTTATTAGGACATCTGTCTGGCTATAGACAGCCGAGCACTGCCCCTGTGTAGTGCCAGCTATTAGCATAATCCTTGCCGTGAAACTTCTTAGAGATTTAAAAGAGAGAAATAAAGTGTTCAAAGAAGACCGGCAAAACCAGAAGGGTTTTTCTTGTAATGCTCATTACAGGTCTCAACTTTTTATGCCAACACCCCACAAAAAGAAGAGTGAAAATAAATTAATATTAAAAATAAATTACTGCTTTGAGTTTTCCAAAACCACAGAATTTTCAGAACACATTTGAATGTCTGTTCATAATAAAATGAAGTCACCACCCCTGCTACTTTTCAAAGATGTTTTAATGTTTAAAATTTTTATTATTAATTTATATTTAACCCAGTGGTGTCATCTGCATATAATGTTATCACCTTCATCCTTACGAAACTCGTCTCCTGAATTCTGTAATCTTAAATGAAAACTTAGATTTTTTTTTTTTTTTGTGCCAATTACTTTGGGTACTTTTTTAAAAAAAAGCAGGAATTAATCACAAACTTTCTGAGTTTTGCATATGAATGAGACTTAGTCCATATTATAATGTTGTATGCTGTAAATGCCGTAATACTACTTTATTTCACATAGGTTTGTGAGATGCATATCAGCAAGTACTGGCATGTGCAAAGTTAAGTTTTTTTTGTACATGAGAGGCATTCATCTGAAATATCAAACAAAACATTATTTCTCCCTTGATCAGAACTAAGTTGAAATAGGCTTCAGTGTATGAAGATTAAATTATTCCCCAAAGATTACTTTATATTTGACTATGTATTTAAGAAGATTGCCACTGCTCATATGTTCTTTAGAAAAAAAATAAGTTAAATATTACATTTGAAAAAAAAAAACCTGTGAATGTTGAAAGGGTTTCATCACTGGTATTATTCTATTTCCTCTGTATTAAATGTTATCTTAGATAGGAGTTAAGCTCATAACTAAAAAAAAAAAAAAAGTGAGATAGTGAGTAGTTAATAAATAGGTGCTAAATACTTCAAAGTACAGGGAAACGCTGCAAAATGCCATTGTGCAGAGCTTTTTAGACCAGCTATGATAATAACAATTCTATACAAATAGAAAGCCTGGAAGAATTAATTTAAAATTTACCAAGATGTAATTAACTCATTAAGGCTGTGAGACTTCTGAGGCTCCTGAAGATGAGGTAATTTCTTTGCTAGCTTTTATCAATAAAATTCCCACTGTAAAGAGGAAACTATGTCTGGAATGAAGAGAGGACCCTTTTGCAAGAGCTGAGGACCTCCATCTGTGAGTAGACGACAAGACCAGGCGAGTGCACCGAGGCTGCAAGGCCTTAGAACCAACTTAGAGAGGGTTGCAGAGTTTGAGATCTGCAGAAGTGCTTGTGGAGTCAAGAAATTTGCTGTAGGCAGCATGGAAACACCCACCAGCATGTGGGTTTGCTTGAACCCGAGTGAACTCTGCTTTGCTTGAAGCAGGGTGAACTCTGGGCAACGTGAACAGAGAAGAAATAGAAAATCTGGACTATCAAGAGCACCGTAAAATTGTAAACCCGTGTTTATTTTAGTTTCAAAACCTCCCAGTTGCTCATGCTGCTGTGCTGATGTTTTGGCTGTAGTTTGTGTGTCATTCGGTGAAAATGCTTATATTCAACAATATAAGGCAATTTATTAAATTCAGTCCAGTTAAAAGAATCTGAAGTAGAGTTAGCATCCACTGCTTAGGAGCTTTAACATGAAGAAACCTGTGCATGTTTGTAACTGCCCTGATTAGCAAAGGCAAGATTCAACTTGTGCATGATGCCCTACTTATTTCATTAAATAAGATTTGCTAGTCTGCAAAGAATTAAAAAACAGAGAAGCTGAATACCCAATCATTTATTTGAACTCAAGAATGAAAACTATGGAATGCAGTATTTTTTTCCAAAATAGCAACATAAATAAAAGTGTATGTGCATAGTACTTGCCTCCATAAATTCCAGCGTTGTTCTTCCAGCTGAGTCACTAAATGCTCTATGTATTTGTTGGAGTCCATATATTCCTAAATGAAAAAATTATTAAAAGCTTAGTTTTTCAACATCAAAAGCATTTGTAAAACGAGTCAGTTTGTGGAGTCCACTTTCATTTTGATCCCTAAGTTATCCAAAGTACATAGAAATCACAGTGATGGAAAAATCTAGATTAAAGCCACTTTGGGATTCATACCATGTGAATAGGGCAGAAGCCCAGTGCACTTTTCAGAGGATACACAAGCAGCACAAATGAATTAGTGAACATGTAACTGCATATCCCAACGTAATCTAAGCCCAGAATAATCTTCCCTGGTTCCAGATTGAAAAAGAACTTCTTAGCAGTGCAGCCACTGTTTCGGTGCACATTTTGCTTACTTTAGATATAAATCAAAATAAACAATATTTGACTCAAATATTTATTTTGTGGACAGTATGAAAAATATTATAGTATGTACCCTATTTGAAAATGAAGCTATAATTCAGCTCCTATATAATTTTTCACTTCAACTTTTTCAGATGCTATAACTTGCAGTATAAGCTATATGAAAGCCCCGTACTTGTGTCTAGACAAATTTTTGATAAATAATCTCGATCAGATGAACAATTTGGATTTTTTTTTCTTATTGAAGCCTATTCTTTAAACTCGATGCAAAGAGATGATGTTTATTCCCAGCAGAGAAATCTGTCAGTAATAGAAATATGCCACTTCATTTCCAGGAGGAGGGCAACATCAGTGTTATTTATATCAAATATTTCAGAATGAACCCACAGAATACCATGATATGATATATTTGTATGACAGCAGTACCAACACAGCCACGTTACTATTATTCTGAAAGCCTATCAGTAATAATATAACTCTCCTGAAATATCTCAGCAAAGCAAAATTATGTCTCAAGCCTCATACTTTAGGAAATAACAAGTATTGGAGTACTATATGGAAAAGAATCCATCTTCACTTTCTGGAGAAAAAAGCTCTATTTTTACAGCTCCACTCTTTTACCTTTGGACTCATCACAAAACCACTTTGTCGAGTTCTTGTTTGTGTTAGTAGTTGTTTCTTTACTATTACTATTTGTTTTGTGTAAAAATAGGGATTTTTGTTGCAAAATAGTTGGTTCTTCTGAGCCATTTACCTTCATGACCAGGAATATGAGACAGACCCCAGAGACACTACCTCATCATGTCTTCTGCAGGTGAAGATAAATATTTGCTTATTGTAATGATCATAATTTATAAATAAATATACATCTTTATTTTTCAGGACTGGAACTGTTCCAAGTTTTTATTCCAAGTAATTATTTTATTGTTTTGTTTGAGAGAATTAGTGAGTGACTGAGAGAGTGCAAGAGAGAGAGAGAGGGAAAGGTTCCTCAAAGGTTATCATGACACAAAGCATCTCATCTGTCCCTGGTAAGGGGAGCCTGTGGAAATGCATCTCAGTCATATCCTGTTGAAACTGCATGGCTTGAAAAGCTTTGGATATTGTGAAAATTTCCATTAAACTCTGAGGTTGCCTGAAGCTTAAATTTTATTCTAATTGCTCTAAATAGAAGTATCTTGTAGATATTTCTTTCAGAAAACATTAAATAATGTAAATCCCAAGAAACACCATCAACTTCAGTGGCAATTATGCAGCAAGCTTCTTCTAAGCTAATATAAGTAAAGTCATTCTGCAATATTAGAGTTCACAAAAATATACCTTACAAATAAATAATGGTGATTAGTTGCACTACCAAGTTCTTTAAAACAAGTTACCTTTTTTAGTTAATTTTTTTTTACTACAATGAATCTGGCATAAATTAGTATTAATACCTTTACATCTTTTTAATGTAATATTAAACAATATTCCTGATTTATTCATCAGTGCACTTTGCCCTACAGGCAAAGATAGGATCAGCAGTTTTATTCTGCATAATTCTACCACAATAATGTAAAAAACTCATTCTGAAGCAATTTTCTCAAAAATACTGCCTAGAAATAAAGACAATGGGGAAAAAGGAAACAACATGTTTGTTTTGTATGACTTCTGCTTTAATGTTGAGTTTTTCCTGTGGCAAATCAGAAATATTATTCTGTTTCTCTTTGAAAACCTGCAACTCAGGAGTATGTGATCTGTCAGTGTGAAAAAGTGATGTAAAAAAATCAGCCATGATTTGATCAGAAGATCATGGTTAGCAGTGCCTCCTTTCTTCTGGCACACTCATGTGCCAGCTGTGACTGAAACAGGCCATCTGCTTCAGACATCTCTGTTCCTAAGACCAGGTTTCTGCTCTTTTCTGTTCTCATCTCTCCCAAAAGGCCAAATTCTGCAATCCCCGGATCAGTACCCAGTGTCATCATTTTCTCGATGTGAAGCAAATAGCAAACAGTCACTTGAGATTTACAGCAACTTTGTGATTTAGAATAACCTGGCACATTCAGTGATAGCAGAAAATGTGAGTAAACCCCCAAAGTAATCACACTTGTTTATGGTTGGACTCAATGACCTTGAAGGTCTTTCCCTACCTATGTGATTCTATGACTCTGTTTTCACAAAGACAAGACACACAATTCAGTAAAGTACCAACATTTCGCAGTAACCAATAGATCACATTGAGAGGGGTAATATAAGTATTTTATGTCTTCCTTGGAGCTATGTCAGACAAATGCTTGCACCATGTAGGCTGTGAATGGCATGGCTAATTGTGGAGTCTGAAAAATTACATGGACCTTCATTTTCTGATGTGAGCATATGACTGCAGGAGTTTGCATTAGTGGAAGGAGGATCCAAGTGACTCACAGATGCATGAGAAAAATACCTTTTCCTTGTCAAAACAGACACGAGATCCAATAACTGAGTAAGGATAAAAATCACTGGGGTAGACACAACTGGTGCTTCTACTAGATACTATTAAGACAAATCAATCAAATAGGAGAGAAAGGCTGCTAAAGCACAGTGGCCCCAGGGTTTCAAAAGAGGGTTACAATTCTGCCTGTTAACCCTAGAAGGCTGGACACTGAGCACCTCTAGAGCTGGAGGCCGTAAGGCTGTGTAAGGACAAGTCACCATTTCCAAAATGATGCAGCATTTTTAATCTGAAGTTGGAGACTTTGAATTAGAGTGTTTTTATACATTTGATGATATTACGTAGCAATTGTACTGGTCGTAGAATTGCCATCCATGCTGTCATTCACAATTGGACCAGACCTTGGCAGCCTGTGCTGCGCTGGCTCTGCTTCGAGTCCCACTCCAACCTCCAGCAATTCCTCCCAGCTTGCAAGATTACTGAGTTTATGATGTAAAAAAAAACAAAAAAAAAATCCTTTTCAGCATAATGAGTGAAACCTACCCCTTTTCTTCTCAATTAGTTAGCTTCCAGCTGGGAGAATTTCACTTCTCCTCTATCCTATGATGGCGTATAACTCCACTCTTTTAAGGAAAAACCTTTTGTAATACACTTAAATGCAGTAGAAAATTTTTCTAACAGCTGCATGTATTCTGGCATGCAGAAGAGGTTGGTATGCAAATGTCACATACCAGCTCATCTAATTTAGAGAGCATTAGAGAATTGCTTTACTCAAATTATCACTGGTCTGAGCTGAAGCACAAGCCTACAAATACACCTAAATATGTTTTCTGACAGAACTAAATATCTCGCTTTGCAGTGCCTAATTGCTTTGCTAAGTTTTTTTATTTTTCTTTTCTTTGTTAACTGGACAGCTGTCAGGAGAAAACAAGGAAGAGAAAGGAAATGAAGTGCCTACACTGAGGCCCAGGATCCACCGCTCAGTATTTTGGTTGGTTACGTGGGTATTTGTTCTGGCATATCCACGTTGTTATGCTGGGCAGGGTATCAAAAATTATACAGCCCACAGAACATTTTCCCATCCATTGTTACAGAGCAAACCCTTAGAGCAACCTCAGGCTTGCAGCTCAGGAGTCCCTCGCTGGAAGCTGGAGGTGATAAATTCAAGCTAAAGAAATAGCTCATAGTCTCTGCCTCTCTTAAGGAACTTGCACAGCTTGGTATCAAAGAGAGTTTAATGAGCTTAGCGATATGTGAAAAGGATTAAGGATACCAGCAAATCACTTGATTACGTACTTAATTCAATAGGGCTACTCACGTGCTGGAAGCGACCATGTGCTTCAGTGCTGCACTGGGCAGGGGGCACGGGGAGGTGGGCAGGATGGGTGGGAATGGGTCAGCCTGCAGCAGGGACACCCCAGCTCCCCTAAACCCACACACCTCATCCAGGCACGCAGGGATATGGCAGCTGCCTGCTTACCGCTGCTCTCCTTGTCCTGAACAATCTCTCAAGCTTCCATCCAGCCCTGAGTGCATGGCTGGGATGCCTGAGCTTTGCAGAAAACAGGGAAATTGGGAAACAGGCTAGGCAGACCAGTTTTGAATCAGGGCTGGGAGGTAAATGTTCTTTTCAGCCCTGCAGAGCCTGAAACATCCCATTCCTCTCTGGCTCATCTGATTCTGCTCCTGGTTTGGTTGGGACAGACTGCCCAGACGGTCCTAATGTGCTGTTCCATTACACTACCCCTTGATTCCCTTAATATTTGTATGTGGAACCAGACAGGAAAGCACCAGCATGGATTCAGGCTCTTGTGCTTCACAGAGGAAGACACTGGGCACTGGGGAGTAGAGAAAAACACCAAATGAACAACCCAACAAGCGCATAGAAAAGTTCCCCCAAGCGTCTGAAGCCGTCCAGTCCTGGAGACCGGGAACTCCACGGAGAGCCCGCAATCATCTGTTACAGTTCAGAAAGTCACATTTTCACAGGGAAAGGTTATTAGAAATCAAACAACAACAAAGCTGTCTGCAGTCAAACAGCAGACTGTTGCAATTAGGAAACGATGTTAACAAAGCAACAAAGGGGATATATAAGCTGTTACACTAAGTGTGGAGACACAAGTCATTTTTGAAGGATCTTGGAAGAGTGCCCTGGGGTAAAGCTTTAGATCTAGGAAACGTGACTTCAGAGACTATTATAAGTTTTGTAAGATATTTATTTTTGTTTTCATCCCACTGCA